TCTGTCGCCGTACTCCGCGCATTCGTCGTAACATTTCAAACCAGCTCAAAGGATGGAGGGGGCCGATTTCAAAATGTTGTACTCGCATTAGCACCGCGTGCACTCGTCTTCCACATTTGCACGAACTACAAGGATGGAGGGCGACTCCTTTTCAAAATGGGGCTCTCGCTTGAGACTTCCGTGAACTGAAAGGCGAACCGTTTGAACATGTTCAGCAGCTGAACAGATGGAGGGCGGCTCCTTTTCAAAATGGGGCTCGCTCGATGTTCATGGCCAGGAAGGTAAGCTTACGCAACAACTGCCCAGATGGTGGCGGTCCTTCTTCAAACTGGGGACTTCGCTGGACACCTCACTGAGCTGTATGGTCATACGGTCTCGCCTTCCTCGCTATTCTGTAAACTCCGCCGACCCCTTGGGGTTCATCGGCGTGTGAGATGCTTCCCACTCGAACCCCTCCCCAGGGAACCCGGTCGGGTCGATTTGGAGGGGGGGTCCCCCCGGGACCGCTGGAACGAGCCATGGGGGGGCAGAAGGCCCCCCAAACAGGCCAAGAAGGCCCCCAGAGGCCCTCGAACCGGTCCAAGAGGGCCACGAGTAGGAATAGGAATAGGAATCGGGGGAGGAGGGGGAGGAGGAGGGGGAGGAGGAGGAGGAGGAGGGGGAGGAGGAGGAGGAGGAGGAGGAGGAGGAGGAGGAGGAGGAGGAGGATAAGGATAAGGCCCTTTGGGGCCTCTGTCCCTGGCCTGCTTAAAAGCGAGCTGGGCCCCTGGGTGAGGACATGGATGCAAGCCCGTTACCTGGTCAGGTCGGCGGGCTGCCTGGGGCACAGCCTTCCTCCCTCGGCAGGGGAGCGGCGCGCCGGCCCCGCCAGCGGGGGGCCGTGCTCGGGAGAGGCGGCACAAAAAGCATCGCAGGGGGCGGGCGGCTGCCGCCTGCAGCAGGGCGGCGCCCCCCCGCCCCTGGGGAACCAGTGACATTCTGGGCAGGTGCACATCGGGCGCAGGCCCCTCCTCCCCCGCCGCCTCCTCCTCCCCCCCCCCCCCCTCCCCGCGGGCCCTCGCGACGCGCCGTCTCTCATCTCTCCGCGGGGCCCTCTGCCCCGGGAAGGGGCCGAGTTGCAGAGGCGCCGAACAGCCAGGAAGGGAACGGGAAAGGAAGGCCGTCGAAGAAAGGGGAGGGACAGATCAGCAGCCGAGGCCCCAGACCAGGGGGGGAAGAGACGGGAAGGGGCAGCCGCGGAAGGCAAAGCGTAACAAACAAACTGTGGCAACTATGGCTGTTCAAACAAATGTTCTAGCTGTGCGACCCTGCATCCATGTTCTATTGCTGCGTGCACCTCCTGCATTGGATAGTTGTGTTCAAGCCGTAATATGATGACAGAAACATGCTGTTCTCCACTGTCTATGAATCTTTCGTATACGCGATCCAACAACTTAGTGAACACGGCTGTGGTGCCCTTTTCCTCGTCTGCTGAAAGACTGCCCATATCCAAGTTCGTCAGTTCGTTGTTTGTGCAACACTATGCATAATTTTCCAGTCCGTATGGGAACTCGTCTAGAATCGATTGAAACTGATCCGTGCCGTCTGAATTTCGGATCGCGCCAATCAGCTCTCCAACAATAATTGTCTTCTGAGCGACTCCCAATGAGCTCCTCTGTGTTCAACGGCGTTGCGTCCAAGATGATAAAATTCGGTCCGTCGGTCTCCGTCTCAGTCGCTGGCGGGGTGCTCTCTCCAGGGCCACATCGCGCCCGCCAGGCGTTGACTGATTGACTCCCGTCTCCCACCGTTGTATATGCAACCTGCTTTGCCTTCTCGTCTTGGGTCCTGTCGTCCTTCTTGCGGGAACTTGTGCGCTGGCTCTCCAACGTGTGGTCTTTCAGTTTTTCTTCGAAGTGCTCCAGCATGCAACTTTTCTCACATTCTGTGCGCTGATCTTCTGGTCTCTGCTCGAGTCCCGGCGGGGGTGATAATGATAAGGCTCTCAAAATGTCCGTCCTGGCAATATGTTTTTTTGTTTGCGTGCGGCGGATACGTTGTCGTCTTCTTTGGCTGGAGGTCACACTTGCAGATTCCGAGCACTTGAGCAAGACAAATCCATCAGAAGACGAAGAGACGATGCACGTTACGGTATCGGATGTGTGGCTCCGCTGCTTTTTTGCTCGTGCCCCAGTCCTCCTGCCCCCTGAAGCCTGCGGGTATGGGGCGCAATACTACCTCGGGTACGATTCTGCAATCCTCTCGGCTGGGCAGGGTTCGATTCCCTCAAACGGCAGCCCAGGAGAAGGAGGAGGAGGAAGAGGAGGAAAAGGAGGAGGAGGAGGAAGGGGAGGAGGAGGAGGAGGAGGAGGACGAGGAAAACCTTTCCCACTGCTTGCCCGCGCTCGAACGAGGGGAAGAAGCAGCAAAAGCATAAACTTTCGAAGGTCCGCGCCGATTTGTAGGATTATCGCTACACCCCCTCCCTGCGGCGCGGAGCGCGCGATGAGAGGTCCAGAGCCGACCGAAGGAATCCGCGCGGAGCTGCAGAGAGTTTGTGCTTATGCATCGTTTGGTGCTTCGAGCTAGTGGTGCAGCCAACTTGCCTTGGACACAAGGCTGTGCTTCACCAACACGTAGAGCGCGTACTCGTCCTTCGAAAGGTAGCCGTTTCCGTCCTTGTCCATCTGGTGGAAGACCTCCTTTTTTAACCCGCCAGGTGCGTTACGTTTTTTTTTTGGGGGGGGGGTGTTTGGAGGGCGACGAGGGAACGAGGGAGAGGAGGAGGAAAACGAGGCCGCCGAGGGGGAAGCAACGACCACCCAAAACCGCAGAAACGACAACGCGGGAGGACAGGAAACGAGAAAGGAGGCGACAGAACGGCGAGACAAGACGACAAGAAGCAGAACGTCAAGAAACGAAACGCGGCACCGCAGCCTCACCACAACGCTCGAACAACAATGAAATGAATAGGAACGCGGACAATGCATCGTTGACCAACGAGCGGCACCCGGGCTCTGAACTGGGCCCATGGGTCCAGAGAGGAGAATGAAGGTGGAAGAGGACGAGGCGGAGCACTCGCGCGGGAGCGCAACTTGATTAACGATTGATTCCTTCTAACAGAAGGCGGATCGACGACACACGCACAAACTTTGGGAAGGTCCGCGCGGATTTCTAGGGACGGCGCTAGCCCCCCTGGCGTGCTCCGCTCGCCAGGGAGGGGGGTCCATCGCCGACCCAACAAATCCGCGCGGACCTCCGACAGTTTAGGTTGATTTTTGGGTTGTTCAATTAGCTACTGATGACTTGCTGTTGGTAAGAAAGGCTGCACTCTGCAGTTTGAGAGGGTCTACGTACCTTGCAAGGTTGGATGTTATATACGATGCTGGGGGCAATTGTATCCCTCTGGTCCGCCCAGCCTCGTTGATGTTCTGCGCGCCCTCGAACTCGATCTTCTCGTCCTCCTGCGCCAAGGCGTCGGACAAGGCCTTCACGAAATCCGCCGATCCGGCGTGTGAGTTTCTAGGAGTCTCAGCTACAGCCTCGAGGCTGAGCCTCAGCCTCTGGGGGGGTTGCCGGGGTGGCTCTGCCGGGGAAGAGGGGATGGGGGGGGGGGGTGCGAGTTTCCGGCGGATGCGGGGTGACGGCCCAGAGCCCCCCCAAGCGTCCCCAAGAAGACCCCAAAGAGGGACGAAAAGCGGAAAAAGCGGAGGCCCCAAGAGCTCCCAAGAGGGCCCCCAAAAGCCTCCAAGAAGCGCCCCAGGACGCCCTGACAGGCCCCTAAGATGCCCCAAAAAACGCCCCCAGACGCCTAAGAGCTCCCAAAAGGGCCCCCAAAAGTCTCCGAGAAGCCCCCCAGGACGCCCTGACAGGCCCCCATGTCTGCGGCGCGGGTTGGGTGGTGTGACTGCGTGTGTGCGTTTGAGTGTGCGCCCATAATGTCTGCGTCTGGAGAATAACCCCGAGCGACCCGGATCGGCGGCACTGGCCGAAGGCCACTACAATATGCAGTGACCGCGACACCCAACAACATCCATATGATGCCTACGATACGGCCGATCCTAGACTTCGGGGAGTGGTCCCCGAAACCCACAGTGGTGACTGTGATGACCGACATGTAGAAGGCACTCGCCCACGACATCTGCAGGCCTTCAGTGGCAACGCAAGTGTCGTAGCTGCTTTCGTCGCACTGCTGTAGGTCAAAATCCTCTTGGGTATTGCCGTACGAGCAGGTACAGCTCTCGGCAAATCGGAAGAACAGCGTGCCCGTGGAGATGGCGAAAACCAGCAGCACAGCAGCGGACACCGCCCGATTTGTCGTGCCCCACGCCTCCTTGGCCTCCTCATCATTGTGGATGCTGGCGAGGGCACCTATTTCCACCTTGCGCAAGCGGGATCGAATGGTTTGGACGTTGCTCTCGATGACGACGTCCATAATCAGGTTGAAGAAGTTGGCAACCACGAGGAGGGCAGCCAGGACGTAGAACGCCATGAAAAGCTTCATCCAATCGGTCTGCACAGTTACATCGCCGTAGCCAATCGTGGTGACAATTTGCACAATGACATACAGCGACGTGAGGAACTCCCAGTCTTCAAATACCATTCCCATGACAACTCCTAGACTGACCATGAACAGGCACGCGGTCAGAAGACGCCAATGTGCTCTCATCTTCTGCTGGATCTTGGCGGGCAAGGACTGCATCCCGTCGGCGACCGCTATGACGATGTCCGTCACGCAACTCTCCGCCATCGATTTGACTCTGAAGACGTCCGTCACGTAACTCTCCGCCATCGATCTCACTCCAGAGATGTTGGTGAGCTGGCTCGGAGATCGCCCAGTCATAGACGCGTGCGGCGACACCGCGGGGCAATCATCGACAGCCTCGGTGTCCTCTGGGAAGCTTCAAGCAAACATCTGCCCAGCCCTCACTGGGCGGCAGGGGGAGAGCTGAGGGGAAGAGGCCGAAGGAAGGTCGGACGGAGACAGCCCGTGCCACCGACACGACTCTTCAGGCCACGAAGCCTGAGGGCAGCCGGGGGTACGCGGCCGACTCTGGGAACCCTAGGTCCAAGCGTGCTGACGTTCCCCTTTCGCTTCCGCCGCCTTCCGCTGGCGGGGCCGCCGCCTTGGTACTTCCACCGAGGAAGCGATGCACACTTCTCGATCCATCGAAGGTGAGGCCCCTCTGAATCACCCAATCCGTGCAGATGGCCCATCTCCTCCGACGTCACATCTTTCCGCGACGTGCACCCTAAGGGGCCGTTTTTGCAACCCGAATCCTTTTCTGACGGCCCTGGGTCCTGGAAACGGCCTCCAGAGGCTGAACACCTTGAAAATCAGGCCGTCGCGCTTTTTTGGCGACGCCAGGGTCTGAGGGATGCCGCCGACTGCAGCGCCCTGACGCCCCCCCCCGCAGGGGCGCGATTGATTTGAGTATCTCCGCACGGCACGGGTCCGTGTCCCTGTGCGGCGGCGGGACCACGCCCATGATCATTGCTGGCCGGCTCCCAGGCCGGTCAGGAGGTCCAGGGTCAGCCCAAGAGGGGGGTCGCTCGAGGCAATTTTCGGAAGCAGGAGGGGGATCTGAGGAGAGGGGACAGGGATGAGGAGAGGAGGATGGGAGGATGAGAAGGAGTGTAACTTTCCTCTTGCTGCTGCTCCTCCTCCGCCCTCCCCTCCTCCTTCTCCTTCTCTTCCCCCGATGCCACTCCTCCACCAACACATCCGCCTGCTGATCCTCCTCTTCCACTTCTCCTCCTCCCCGCTCTCCTACTCCTCCTCCTCCTGTTCTAGCTGCCATCTGGGCCTAAAATATTGTCAGGGCAGCCCAGACCGCCACTATGTCATTCCACCGTTTGTGCAGACAGAAGGGGCGGCGGCCCGCATGATGGCGGCGTGGACCGCTTCTCTCGCGGTGCTTCTCTTCAACCCGCTCTCTGCAAAGCCCGACAGGTTGGCGGAGACATACGAGGAGGCGCCGAACTTCGACGCCATCATCCTGACGGGCACGTCGCGCAGACGCTGCGAGCCCGCCATCGCCCAGCACCGCATCGGCGACACGCGCTACTACGATGCGGGCTGGCCTGACGAACCACAGCACGGTCTCCGACACGCGAAGGTCATTGACTTGCAGGAACCGCCCGCCGAGCTCAGCGGCCCAGGACTCGCCATCACGCTGCAGCACCACGACCAGATCATCCTGATCATTGGCTGCTACAGCCCGCCGCAACCCACGAAGGGCAAGAACGTACGCAAGGCCTACTTCGCCACGATCAGCCGCCTCTTTGCTTGGATGGACACGGTCAGCAAGCATTAACCGCGCACCGCGGTACTGATTACAGCAGGGGGCCTGAACGACGGCATCGGCATCACTCCTCGGGGCGAGAGATCGATAACGACAGCCACAGGCGACGCCAGAGCACCAGAACGATTACCAGGATGCGCAGGACAGAAAGCCAGACAGTACGCGGAGCGCTACAACCTGTTCGCCACGAACACGCTGGACAGCTGGCGCCCGACCTACTTCGGCACGACCCACGCGAGCTGCATTGACTACATCATGCTACCGCAACATCTGACGGAGACGCTCATTTCACACGGACCACTTCTACGCCTGGGGGCACGACTGCAACATGTCCCATGCCCAGCACGACGAGATCATGTGCCAGTCCACGCCACTTTCCGACTCCCACTACGAAAACGAGTACGACACCAACCTCAACCCCCTAAGTGGAACAGGGACGGCCTTGTGCAGGCGGTTCGCAATGGCTACCACCGAGCGGAGTTCACCCAGGACATTGAGAGGGCCATGGAGACGTACAACCCAGAGGGCAAAGACGTGGACCAGCTTTTCAGCGACTTTAACGAGATCTTGATCACGGAGGCGCAGAACATTACGGCCAGACGCCCAAGCCGACGACCGAGTACGGACGACTACGAGATGACCGCATGCTCCTACTACGCGAACGACGAGAAGCCAGAGCCGCACTCCTCGTAGAGCAAGAAGGTACCACGCCAGAGGCTGCACGCCGAACCACAGATCCCGAGTCACCCCCACCGACCCGATGGGACCGCCAGGACGGGGAATGGACCCCAAGGACCGAGACCCAGGGCGACAGAGAAACCCGCGACAGCAACCCATACGCCGATCCAGTGCCAGCACCCATCACAGAGAGTGAATCTAAGATGCGCGACTTGGAGTCAGAACTTCGAAGCCAGCAGATGAGGAATATAGAGCACCAGAAACGCACGGACGCCAAGATCGAGGAGATGTACGAGGCATGGGAACAGAGAGACTTGGCGCGAGTTGGAAGATTGACAATATTGATTTCAGGAGGACGCTATGGACCAAGAAAACGCGATTACTGGACGGCGACGACAGCGAGTCCCAGCAAGCAGGAGTGGATCGAGTTTTGGCAGCAGCCAGGAGGAGCAGGAGGCATGGACGGCACCGAGCAGGACCACGAGACCATCGAAGAAATACCGCACAATGCAGAGGAGCAATACTACCACGAGGACGACCTCGAGGAGAAGGTGGAGGAGGACTACACGGAGATTGCGAGGCCATTCAAACGTGCACGGCTACGACGAGCAGCACCACCTGCAGCAACATGATCGGAGACCTGGTGACTACTTCTTTGCGGCCACGACCACGAACAACCACCGCGACAGCGGCAAGGGTTTGGACACCACCACGACCACCGCGAACCCGAAACATTTCAAACATTGATCAAGGAAGCCCTGGCGGCCATGCGCATCCGCAATGTGACGCCAGTCCGCTGGCACCAGAGCTCGGCGACCGCAGTCAAGCAGAACGCCAAGAAGGGCCCAGCAGGCAAGAGAATCTACCAGATGATGGACCCGTTCGGCAAGGCGTACTACGCGGCAGGGATCCGACGCCAGAACGCCAGGACCTACAGCGACCAGGACTATGGCTTCATCAAAGGCAGGCGCCGCGAGGGAGCGATTCTGACCATTGCGGTGGTGGAGTACAAGGCTAGACAGTCAGGCTACAACTACGCGTCCACAATGAAGGACATGTCCAACGCCTTCGCGAGCTGCTGGTGGATCACCATGGACGCCGCCAACAGCAACATCATGCCAAATGGGACATAGGAGAGCAGCGCTACCGCAGGGCCATGTTCGAGACAACGTGCAAGGACACGGAACAGGGCGCGTGCATCAAGCCCCACTGTGGGGGACTAATCGGCGACCCGTACATGATCAACAACTTCGTCGCCGGCTTCACACCGTGCGTACGCTATGGGTCCGAGATTGCAACGAGAGGATCACCAACGACAACCTGCTTTACGGAGATAGCGAACTATTTCAGCATCCAGTCTATGTGGGACTCACGAAGTACGCCGACGACCTGCGCAACATGATCCTTGGAGGCAAGACAACAGACGCCCAGCACATAGCCGAGCAAGCCTACGCCGTAGACGAGAAGCTCAACCAACGCCTGAACGAGATCGGCCTCAAGCAGAACCAGGACACGCAAGAGACCATCATCTATTTCCAGGGACCCGATGCCAGCCAGGCACACCGCAACATCAAGAAGAACCCGCGGTGCAGACTACCAGGCAAAGTGGTGGAGGCGGCGAGGTACCTGGGCCCGTACATCACAGCAACCCAGAACTACCAGCACTAGCTTCAGAAAAGAGCACAGGCCATGAAGAAGAGCTACTATGAGTGCGGCGGCTTCTGGACCAAGCGAGTCATCCCCTACCGATGGACGCGAGCAGTGTTGATGTGCAGGGTCATCAACACAGGCATATCGTGCATAGAGTGCTTCCTGCCGACGCCGACGGAGTACTGCACGCTGCAGAGCGCGATGGGAGCGCTCTTGAGGAAGGCGATGGCAGGCCGCGCGAGCACGCGCCGAGCGGACGGCACCGTCGGCAGCATGACGACGCTGGAGGTCTTTCGCTTCTGGCAAATACTACCACCAGCGGAGGAAGCACTGGTCCGCAGACTTGGCTGGACAAGAAACATATTGCGATTTCTGAGCAATCACCGACAACTCATCGTCGCCTTGTTTGGACGCCTCGGTTTCGAGAGAGCGGAGACCGATCGGGACCGCATTTCGTCTTTTTCGAATCGAGAAGAAAACTTCGGGCCCGAGAACGAGAACGACGGAAACGAGCTGACGACGCATACGAATCCCTGGGCCCGAAGAATCCTGAACGACGTCGAGAAAGCGTGCCAAGTCTCGGAGAGCTTCAGAGCCATCTTCGGGGAGCAGGAGATCACGATCGGTAAGATGTTCAGGCTGACGACTAGAGAACAGCTCCACCTTCTAGATGTACGCGAGGTCAGAGCAGCTAAACTGACAATGGCTATCCCCCCGTCTGGACAGGCCCAAAACGACGAATTCATCGAAGATCTGGCCCTCCAGGATCTCCAACCGTGGAAATGCAAACTCAGGGATGGAGTGGAAGAATGCGGACTCCTCTTCTCGAGCAAGAAGGCGCTTCACAGCCACGTCATACGAAATCATCATGTTCATACTTTAGCGGCTCTACTAACGACGAACAGCGAGTGCATCAATTGCTACAAGGTGTTTGAAAGCCGTGGGACCGCGTGGACACACCTAGCCAGAAGTATGTTGACAGGGTGCTGCAATCAAGATCGAACGAGAAACCAGTGCCACCCGTCGAAACCGAACACACCGTGCCCGCTCTGCAGCCATCTGGCACTGGACAGGGGCTCCTTCTTCCAGCACCTCTGCACGCACCCCCCACGACCACTTCTACGCCCGCGCGGAGCCGATTGCGCTCTTCGACAGCGCCCGCGGTGGGCGCCAGCGGCGCCGGCAAAAAGAAGACCGCCTCGCCAAGACCGCAGCCGACAACCGCGACGCCCGCTAGGAGGAGCACCCGCTGGGCCAGTGGGAGGCGCGGCGCCCAACAACGCGCAGGTGGTGGACCTCACGGCGCGCTCGACGCTCACGTTGGCCGGGGAGCAGGCAGAGCGAACGGCGGCGGTGATGCAGAAGTGGGCGATCGACACGAACAGCCGCATCGCCAAGGCAGCGCTGGCAGCGGGACAAGCGTACAGCGAGCAGGCACAGGAGCTACGACGCCGCGCGGGCACGGGCGAGCAACTGGACACGGCATCGTTGGGCAGCCCGCACATCCGCGTCTGGACGGAGGTAGCGAACTACGTAGGACGGGCCCTCGACGAAGAGCCATCACGCGAGCACCTGGAGAAGTACTACCAAGACACAATTTTTTCTGGCAGCGCGGAGGCTGTGGCGGACGGCATCCCAGTTTTCAGGGCGCGCAAGAACAACGGCAAAGAGGGAGGAGCTCAGGAGCGATGGCGATGCCAGTTCTCGGTCAAGACCACGCCGCACCAGATCGAGATGATCCTCGTGCGCCAACTGAGCAAGGAAGGAGCCATTCGCAAGATCGGCACCGAGGGGAGCGCTGGAGCGCGAGCTGGGCCGCCTGATCAATGGCCAGCAGCAGAGGTACGAGACACAGCTCAGGGCGCAGGTCGTCGTGAGACGCCCCAGGCAGTTTGCCACGGTGAGCGTGAGGCCGACGGCCACGAGAAAACAATCCAGCTCTGTCCAATTTCGAGGGCCGATGCAGCCCGTGCTACCCCGCAGGCCTTCAGAACGGCTGAGCGCTTCATCATTCTAGTCAAGGAAGGCCGCCTCCCCACTCCTCCTCCGTCAACCGAGACTCCCGACCTCTACCAACTCCGAGGGCAGAGCTTCCCTGAATATAATGTAGTGCACCGACCTCCCCCCCCCCGAACCGAAGAGAAAGGGAAGGGGGAAGGGAGGACCGAGCAGGAGGGCACTCGTAAAAGCGGGTGCTACCCTGCCCGCGACCCCATGCGTGGGGGAGGTCGGTGCAGGTAGGGCCCGAGCGTCGATTGGCGCCTGCGACCCCTTTTCAGCAAGGACATCACAGCTAGGCCACCAGATTTTGTAAAGCAGCGCAGAGCCCAGAGCGAGCGTAACACCGAACTGGCCCGAGAGCTCGATCGATCGATCCTCCTGTTCTCCTCTTCCCTTCGTCTCCCCTCCTCTTCTCCTCTTCTCCTCTTCCTCCTCCTCCTTCTCCTCCTCCTCCTCCTCCTCCTCCTCTGTGCGATCGAGCGACACTGAAACTCTGCCGCCTGAGGTGTCTGTGGGCACGGTGCTCGGACTTGGCCTCGAACGCGCACGATATTGAGACCCGTCGGTCGATGCCAGAGCAAGAAGACCTGACATGCCCTGTTCAATTCGCTGATGACTCTCCTGGTGCATGACCCGTCTCCGTATAAATCCCTGGCGAACACGTTGTCGATAGGGACTCCCCGAGACGGCTCCGAGGCCCACTCGACTTGAACGTCACCACTCTTGAAAGCACCGAGTGAAGACCCTGCAGTGTGCTCGAAACCTCCGAGGGAGGCCACTGCGTCGTTCGCCTCCGCCGCCCAAGACTGCACGGCCAGCTTGGCCAGCTCGTCAGACTCTGCACCCGAGTCCGTACTGCCAGCAATCCGCCAAACACAACGGCAGCAAGAAGCTGGAGGCGACACCGACACGACACCGCACGAACAGCGAGGCCGACGGACACGGCAACCGCGACACCTCGGGGCCGTGCAGCACGGGGGCGGGCGCTCCGTGAAGCGGCTCGGACACGCACCGCTCCAGCCGTGTGTCCAATACCCTAGCCAACTTACGGGGAGGGGTAGAAGGACGGACGTGTAGGCGAGAAGAGGGCGCGAGGCGAAGCGACGAAGCACGATGCTGTGTAGAGAAACAAAAAAGGCACGCCCGATATGCACTCGTACGCCTACAAATGCAGCAGTGAACGTATGTGCTTGAAGTGTCTATACACATACGCACACATGCAGGCATGCATATACATATGCATTTGCACACACGCATCTATATTTCCACATACACATACATTATATAATATAATATATATATGTATGTATGTATGTGTGTGTATATATATATATATATATGTATTCCTCTTCCTATATTTTTGCAATCCCGGGCGGGGGGAAAACCCGTCACCCCCCCAAAAAAAACTGGACTCCCAGGATCTGGGGCTTTGGGACCCTCCGGACGGGCCTCGAAGCGGCCACCGGGCCTCGCAGGGCGTTTTGCCAAGCCTTCCCAGCACACCTAGGGCGATCAGGGGGGTCATCGGAGACGTCCCAGAGACCCCCAAGACAGCACAAGAGCGTTCCAAGAGTGACCGACGTGACCTCAAGATGGCCCAAGAGGCCTCCAGGACGGCCCCAAAGAGGCCTCCAAGAGCATTCCCAAAAAGGCCCCCCGAGGCAAAAATCATTGACTTTCTGAAGGTTTTTGGTGAACTTTGGGGTTCTCCTCTTTTCGGCTTCCCGACGCTCCAAGACGGCAGTCTTCTGGGCGTCCCAAGCCGCCTGGGAGGCTCAAGGATCGCCCCACAACCATCCGAAAGGGCTTCGAAGCAGTCCAAGAGAGCCCCCAAACGGCACAACACGGGCCCAAGATGGCCCCCAGAGAGCCCCATGGCGGCCCAAAATGGCCCAAAGACACCCTCGGAATAATTCCAAATCGTGATTCGGTCGTTCAGGGAGACCGCGGTTGGAGGCAGGGTGGCCCGAGGAAACCCCCGGAGGCCCCCAGAATACGCCCAAGAGGCCTCCAGAAGGCCTTAAGAAAGCCCGAAACAACTTTTGTGAGGCCCCTAGAGGATCTCCAAGGAGGACCCCCCGCAAAAAAAAACTGAGGAGGATGGGGAGAATGCGCAGGGTATGGCGAAAACTAAAGAAAAAGAAGCATGGAGGAAAGATAACGAATAACGTTATTATAGCGGCGATGCCGGAAAAGCCAACCAGGAATTATCGCTAAATTGTCGGCTTGACCTTCCTGCTATTCCGCCTGCGTGCCAAACTTCAAGGACCAAGGTGCATGGCGCGAAGCGCCATTTTATATATATATATATTATAGATTTTACCTACAGCTCTTGCTGATAGGTTTCTAGTGGTCTCAAAAGAGAGCATCATGACTCCACAGGGGGGTCGGGGCGGGACCCGGAACGGCTGCCGTCGAAGCCGAAATCGCTTTGGACATCCTCGCAAAATCGCTCTTGGTGCTCCCAGAACTCCATTCCCGGGCCACATTTTGGATGCCCGGAGCCAACTGTAGGCCACTTCGTGCTCTTCGACTTCCCAGAACTCCATTCCCGGGCCACATTTTGGATGCCCGGAGCCAACTGTAGGCCACTTCGTGCTCTTCGATTTCCCAGAACTCCATTCCCGGGCCACATTTTGGATGCCCGGAGCCAACTGTAGGCCACTTCGTGCTCTTCAAGTTCCCAGAACTCATTCCTGGGCATGATTTTGAATGCCCGGAGCCAACTGTAGGCCACTTCGTGTTCTTCTAGTTCCCAGAACTCCATTCCTGGGCCACATTTTGAATGCTGAGGCAGGCTGATGCTGCGGCCGAGGCAGGCTGAGGCTGAGGCAGGCTGAGGCTGAGGCCGAGGCTGAAGGCAGACTGAGGCTGAGGCTGAAGCAGACTGAGGCTGAGGCTGAGGCAGGCTGAGGCTGAGGCTGAAGCAGGCTGATGCTGAGGCAGGCTGAGGCTGAGGCTGAGGCTGATGCAGGCTGAGGCTGAGGCAAGCTGAGGCTGAGGCCGAGGCTGAAGGCAGACTGAGGCTGAGGCTGAAGCAGGCTGAGGCTGAGGCAGGCTGAGGCTGAGGCAGGCTGAGGCTGAGGCTGAGGCAGGCTGAGGCTGAGGCTGTGACTGCGACTGCCGTTGCCGCTGCGACGGTCATCGCGAATGCGACTACGACTGCGAGAACAGCAGAATTCTACAACTGGATTTTCATCTGAATCTTAAGGGGAATGCTTTCATATATGCTTCTACATATCGCTGTTCGGTTGCTTTGCCGTTTTTTTTTTTTTTTGTTTGTTCTTCTTCTTTTTTTTTGCTATATATATAAACTATAAAATAATTTATATATATATATATACGTATACCTATACGACCACCCTGCGGGTGATAAGGAGGTTGTGGGGGGGTGGGAGGGGGGTGGCTCATGACGACAACTGTGGTGAATGTGGTGCTGATGGCCGATGATGGTGTGGATGACGTGGCGGATTTTTTTTGTTTTCTTTCGCTTGGGCGTTTTGTGTCATTCGGTTTGCCGCTGCGCGACGCGGCACTCACCCCACGACGGTCCAGTCGATCCCACTATCAGACTATGGATCTCACAATATCTCACTATCGATCTCGCTATCGATCTCACATTCGGTCCCATTATCGATCTCAATCGATATCACAATCGATGTTACAATCGATCTCACATTCGGTCTCATTATTGATGTCACTATCGATGTCACTATCGATCTCACTATCGATCTCACGATCGGTCTCGCAGTCGATCTCACTATCGATCTCACGACAGGACACCGACGGGCCACCGACGGGACAATGCGGGCTCGATCTTTCAATCGATCTCATCATCGGTCTCACTATCGATCTCACAATCGATCTAACTATTGATCTCAAAATCGATCTCACAACCGATCTCACTATCGATCCCACTATCGATCTCACATTCGATCTCGCAATCGATCTCACTTTCGGTGCCACTATCAATTACACGCTCGATCTCACGATCGATCTCACTATCGATCTCACAATCGATCCAACATTCGGTCTCACATTCGGTCTCACTATCGATCTCACTCGCGGTGTCACTATCAATTTCACGATCGATCTCACTATCGATCTCACTATCGATCTCACGACAAGACAACGGCGGGCGACCGACGGGACAATGCGGGCTACCGCTTGACACGCGCCGGCGGGGGAAACATTTGGCGGGGGAAACATTTATGTTGGCGAACCACTAGCGACAGACAGGACAACGGCGGGCAACCGACGGGACAATGCGGGCCACCGCTTGACACGCGCCGGCGGGGGAAACATTTATGTTGGCGAACCACTAGCGACAGACAGGACAACGGCGGGCAACCGACGGGACAATGCGGGCCACCGCTTGACACGCGCCGGCGGGGGAAACATTTATGTTGGCGAACCACTAGCGACAGACAGGACAACGGCGGGCAACCAACGGGACAATGCGGGCCACCGCTTGACACGCGCCGGCGGGGGAAACATTATGTTGGCGAACCACTAGCGACAGACAGGACAACGGCGGGCAACCGACGGGACAATGCGGGCCACCGCTTGACACGCGCCGGCGGGGGAAACATTTATGTTGGCGAACCACTAGCGACAGACAGGACAACGGCGGGCAACCGACGGGACAATGCGGGCCACCGCTTGACACGCGCCGGCGGGGGAAACATTTATGTTGGCGAACCACTAGCGACAGACAGGACAACGGCGGGCAACCGACGGGACAATGCGGGCCACCGCTTGACACGCGCCGGCGGGGGAAACATTTATGTTGGCGAACCACTAGCGACAGCAGAATGAATTCCTCTCGCCCGCGCACGCAGCTTCGCCTCGCCCGCACGCACGACACGAACACGAAACCGAAACCGATTTCCCGGTGGGGGGCTCTCCGTTCCACTTCGATCTCACCCCCCAACCTCTTATTTATATATATATATATATGTATATATATACATATATATATATATTAGAAAAAAGGTTTGTGCTTGCGTATGCCTGCGCGCACACACAGAAAGGGACATCTCTCTCCAAATATGTTTACATGCTTATACTTGTCTGTATTATTATATGTTTTTTTTTTTTTTTTTTTTTTTTTTTTTTTTTTTTTTTTTTTTTTTTTTTTTTTTTTTTTTTTTTTTTATATATATATATGTATGAAATTGGGGGGTGAGAGCGCAGTGGAACGGACCACCCACCGAGAAATCGGTTTCGGTTTTCGTGCTTCTGTCGTGCGTGCTGGCGATGCGAATCTGCCTGGGCGCGCGAGAGGAATGACCCCCCCCATCGCTAGGGCGATTCGGATGCAATGGACCGCCCCTCCGCCCCCGATGTGCGCGCGGTTGCCCGGGGTGTCCCGCCCTGGTCTCCCGTGGTGTCCCGTGGTGTCCAATCGGTATTCCGTCGGAGGTGGGCGTGTGGTGGCCAGGGGTGTCCCGCCTTGGTGCCGATAGTGAGATCGATTATGAGATCGCTAGAACGGGATGGATAGTGAGATCAAAAGTGAGATCGACCGTGACGTCGATCGTGGCATCGGTTGTGCGATCGATAGTGAGATCGATAGCGAAATCGGTCGAGGACTCGATAATGAGATCGATCGTAGGATCGAAAGCGAGATCTAGAATGATATCTACGCTGAAACCGATAGTGCAATCTATGAAATCGATCGCGAAATCGATTGTGGGATCGATCGAACGAGATCAAAACCGGGGACGATAGCGCAAAGTCGTCATCACGCGTCGTCGCTAACTCGAGGGCGCGTCATGCGCATCGCCATCATGACACCCATCGCATGTGCCAACAATGGTTCTCTCCCCCCCCGCCCCCCAACCTCTTTCTCA